CCAGTCACTCCTTGGAAACCTTGTATTGGGTAGGACCCAACTCCACAGCACTTAACAACAACAAATTCTGTTGTGGGGTTGTAGAATAAGTACTAGATTGCTAACCAGAAGGTTGGCAGTTTAAAACCACCAGCTGCTCTTTGAAACCCTATATATGGTAGCTATGAGTCAGGAGTGACTTGATAGTGCACTTAACAACAACAACAACAACATTCTGTTTCCTGGGAGCATGGTGGCCCTAGAAGATGCCAACCACAAGGTCAGCAGTTTAAATCCCCCAGCTGCTTCTGTGGGAATGAGTCTTTTCTTCAAAATTATTATAATGTTTTTTTATTGTATTCGGCTGATCTTTTTCTTTTTACTACTTTCTGAAGTGAGTAGGGATGGTATGACCTTTTCTCCTACTTTTTTACTGCGTCCTGAAGTGAGTAAGAAGAATGCATGCCTTAGAAATTTGAACTAGCCAACCAGGTAAGGGAAAAGACTTTGTGGTCAAAGCCCTAGCCAATGGGGTGAGACACAGCCTTAAGACTCACGTTGGGGATGAAAACCCGAGTGGACTACCCACCTGGTGTGCTCGCTAACCAGTTCCTGTACAGCTTATGTGCATGCACCTTTCTGCAGAAGTAAATTTTGCCTTGCTGAGGTAATTTAGTCTCACCGAGTGTCTTTTTGTGGGACATCGGGATTCATTTCTAACACTTCCCTCTGGAGAAAGTTGAGACTGACTTCCCTGCAAAGACTTACAACCTGCCGTCAAATCAGTCCTGACTCATAACTACAGTATCTAGAACAGAATGAAACACTGTCTAGTCCTGTGCCGCCCTCACAATGATAACTCTGCTTGAGCCTACTGACATAGTTGTAGCTACCATGTCAATCTATTTGAGGGACTTCCTCCTTGTTTGCTGACTTTATACCTTACCAAGTATGTTGTCCTTCTCCAGGGACTGGATCTTCCTGAGACCATGTCCCAAATCAGTCTCACCAGCCTTGCTTCTAGCATGACACTGTGGGTTAATGCACTGGACTGCAAAGTTAGCTTGAACTGCTATAGGTTGGAACTGACTTGATGGCATTTAACCACAAAAATCCTTGCTTCTAAGGAGCTTTCTGAATATACTTCTTCTAAGAAAGACTTGTTCATTCTTCTGAAAAGTTCATGGTATATTCAAAATTCTTTACAAACCCCTAATTCAAGTGCATTAATTTATTTTTCGGTCTTCTTTACTCATTGTCCAGTTTTTCACAAGCATATGAAACAACTGAAAATACCAAGGATTAAGTCAGCATACCTTAGTCCTTGAAATGACGTCTTTGCTTTTTAACATTTTAAAGTTTTATTTGCAAGCAGATTTGTCCAATGCCTAGAAAGGAGCAAACATACCCCAGTACTGGGTTCCAGTCAATCCACGCATGATCTCTCTCTCTCATTCCCACGCCCTTCTTCATGTCTCTTACTTTTTGGTGGTTTTTTTTTTTTTTTTGGATGGGGAAATGATGGATTCCCCTGATGGTCCATTCTATCAAGACAAAATCTGAAGATCACAGAAGCACAGCCATTTAGAACACTAGGAAGGACAGGCTTAAAGGTCATGTTTTTGGTGCAGAATTATCTTCTAGGGTTTTCTTAATAGATAATCATTTAACCAAAGTGTAAAGTAAGATTTTCTACTTTAGATTCTATTTAGGTTCTATATGAAATTCCATCTGGAAACCACTGCATGTGATAGTCACCCAGAGCTCGAAATGAAAGAGAAATGGAACCTACCCTGTATTTTTTCTTGACTTTCTAAGTGACTATGAGCTAGTGAATTAACCTCTTTGGGTTTTAATACCCTCAGTTGTAAAACAAAAATTTCTCATTTACTCTTGCAGTTTTCTGTATTTCACAGAATTATTTCCAGGGTATTTGTGTGACAAAACTGTTCAAAATATTTACAGCTTACTTGTCAGTCTTCAAAGGAATGTGTTTGCTATCTCACATTAACTGACAATTACTCTAGAAACATTTAGTCTCAAGGGCACATATTTAGTCCAACTTTAGCTAGGACTTCCTCTAAATAAACTCCTAGGTTACTTAGAAACTACAGAAGGAATGCTGAAAACTGACTGATTAGAATATTCTATCTTTCTCTTAGTGGTGATATCAAAGAAATATATTTAAATACTCAGGTTCTAAAAGAGGGGCACTTTAATTTATAATCATCTTTAAACGTTTTTATTTTGTGTCTTGCTATCATTTTTCCCAAGGTGATTCCTTATTATATCCTTCTTGAAAATGTTGTTGTTGTTGTTATGTGCTGTGGAGTTCGTTCCGACTCATAGCGACCCTGTACAGGGTTTCCGAGACTATAAATCTTTACAGGAGCAGAAAGCCTCATCTTTCTCCCATGAAACAGCTGGTAGTTTTGAACTGCTGACTGTGAGATTAGCAGCCTGATTTGTAACCACTATGCTATCAGAGCTGGAAAATAAGCAAAGACTAAAAGATGTCCAATACAAAAACTAATGTGATCTTTCTCATAAAATAGTTATCAGATTTAAGGTTTAGCAGTATGTATATGCAGTAAGATTATTTTAAGACTAGAATCATTCCAGTTGAGCTCATGGAATTTTTAAATCAAGGACTGAAACTCATCAAGAACATTACTGCAATGTAACTAGAAGGAGCTCTGGTAGCATAATGGTTATGAATCGGGTTGCTAATCTCAGGGTCAGCAGTTTGAAACTACCAGCTGTCCTGTGGGAGAAAGAAGAGGCTTTCTGCTCCTGTAAAGATTTACAGTTTCAGAAACCCTGTACAGGGTCACTATGAGTCAGAACTGACTCCAAGGCACATAACAACAACAGCTAGAAGATACTTTCCACTAGGACTGAGCTTTTTCTAAGTGGATGATTTCACATGTAGCCATTTAAACACAGCAGTTCTGAGAAGCACTGGGCTGCTAACTGCAAGGTCAGTGGTCCAAACCCACCAGCTACTTCTTGGAAACGCTACACAGGGTCACTATGAGTAAGCATCAACTAGACAGCACTTAACAAAAACAACATTTCAACATAGCTCACAATTTTCTATGAACAATGTGAGGCTAAAATATAAAATTTAGAGATATGCCACTAAAACAATCAATTAAAACAGAAGCTGAGGTTTGCTTTTCGTAATGACAGGTTTTATACTATATAGAAAACACAAAAATTATTCTGCAATGATATCCCCATTTGTAGTAGAGAATTGCTTCTTGTGTTGTTTAAGAGAAGTCTTTTCATTGACCTCACTCTTCTACTTTGAAATTCAGAAATCAGTTACAGAACCAGTCAATAGCTGTATATTGAAAGAATCAGAGATACTGAAAAGAGACAATGATCTTCTGAAGAACTTAGCAATCTTTTCTATGACTCTAGCAAGATATAATAACTCTGAGTCAACTCCGTGGAAAGCTTTTCCAGGGCGAATATTTGGAGTTTCAAGAGAATCGATGCTATGAGCATTTTCATACCATACCCATGATCCATGTCCATGTGCACAAAACAAAGGTACTGTTGTGAAGTAAAGGCCGTTTATCAGTCAGTTTATACAGATTTCACATCTGATACTGTTTGCTGGTAGTCGTAGCTCACAGTTCATGACTGCAGAATCCCAGTGTAGTCCTGCAGGAGGTGGGAAGCATTCTTTTAACCACAGTCAGCCATATCTTTCCAGGACACTTCTTTCAACAATTAAGTACATGGGTCAAATGCAGTACTTTCCATCAGCATTTTCAAGTAGCAATGGAGGACAGGGCAATGAACTAGCAGCCATGCTGTCCACAGGAAATATCCCTCCCTGGAAAGACCCTCAAATCAGGTAATATAAAGCAAAGAAGGCAGGGGAAAATGTCTGGTTTATCCACCCACACTCACCATGGAATTTAAACCAGCATTCTTTCCAAGTGCTAGTCTAGGAGAATAGATTGGAAAGGGGTGAGCTGCCAAGTAGGATTTTTCTACCAAGCCATTTTCATGATGAGTTTTTAAAGTCATTTTTAGAAATTGAGTATACAGATACAATTTTAAAAAATGACATAGGCCCACAAAATCAACTCATTTTTTTCAGATTTAATGAACATTTAAGGTTCATATACAAAAGCTGACGGAGCAATAAGCCAATTATTGAATACACACAAGGAAATAAAATGGAAAATAACTCATTATGCTATCTCACCAGGAAAGCACTGCCTGGCCGCAAGGAGAGTATCAACAAGTTCCAGACATGCCCTGTCACTGACCGGACTGCGTTCAAGCTGCCCACTGGCTTAATGTCTCTCTCTTTTTTTTTTTTTTCATGGCCATTGTTTAGTTAATGACAGGTAAATAATGGAGAATAAAAGCTAAAAATAAAATTTAAGGAGTTCATTTTTTTTCATGGGATAAAAATATTATCAGTGAGTCTACCATACCATATTTTTCTGTTATTGAATTGTCTGCATTCATTTTTCTCTATCCTATTTCTTAATGTGAAATCATGCAGTAATCTTTTATAATTTCAAACTAAGAATTTTCAAAGGCAATCAATTTTGTTCATAAACGTCAACGGCTCTTTGAATGAAAAATGTTTTCTATGTAATCTTTGTTTCTTGCAATATTTTGTCAGGTAATAAATATGGAGTATATCCTAAAATATTTTTCTGCTGGGAAAACTTGTATGAAATGACATTTGAAATACAAAACACAATATTAGGTAATACTTGAAAGAGTTAAAAATATACTTGTCTGGTTTGTAAACTATCACTATAATATACTGATCATCCGAGCATCAGAATCACTGTCTTTTGTTGTTTAGAGTTTGCTCTGTTCATCACGATGACACCTTTGAAACATCCGAGGTTATATATAGAAATAATCAAGGCAATGTATTTGTACATATTACTAAACATGCAAAAATTTCCTGAAAGATGTTGCCCAAATATGGAAAATCCCCTGAACTCAACCTGTCCTTGGGACAATCTTGCTGGAAGTATGGCTGTCTTGTTGGCTGGGGTTCCAGAAATTTATTTTGGAGAGGCAGCTCCTTTAATCACTGGCTCCCTATTCAAATATGTCGCCCAATAAACTAAGTTGAAAGTGCCAAAAAGCACTGGGAATATAATTCGGGACATTTTGTCAATCTTGCTGATGCTGTTGTAAGTCTTTTTGCTTTCAGATGTCTTCTCTGCAAGAGGTTTTACTGAAACACAAGATGCATTCGAGGTCCCGGCCAGGGTCTCTTCCTTCGGAACATTTGGGGGGTGGATCATCTTCCCAGCAGTATGAGAATTAGTTGATTTATTTAGTATGAGTTCACGTTCCTTTTTCTGCAAAATATAATAAGAATGTAAAGAAATGCCATTTTACAGGCAACAGTCAACTAACATGATTCTCAAAAGAGAAAAAAAGAAAAGTTCATTTAAGCTCTGGGAGTGAGTAGCCATTCAACAGACTTCCAAAACCTCACAGTACCATACACTCACAGACTGAACCTCAGCACAAACCACAGCCACCAGTGACATCAATTTTGGCATTTCTCAAGGACCTAGAATAAACGGTGTTAGGAGTTTCTTAACATAGCAACTGTCCTTTCTTTAGACCAGTGCACTTACAGCGGTGGGGCTGGATAACGTACAAGATACTAGAGAAGTTGCAGCAATTGGCCACCTGAGAATGGAAAATGAAGGGCAATTTAAAAAATCACCATACACATGGATTCTGGGAAGATGTCAGCATAAACAGACCACCATCCCAACTCTCCTATAAAAGTACGTGAGACAACAAAGAAATGATGCTTAGCTTTGAGGGATTCTGAATCCGGAACCAGAATGAGGTCCTGGGAAACTTCAACTAGGTAAGAGTCAATAATCAACAGCTCTATGTTGTTGTTCGGTGATATCCAGTCGGTTCTGACTCATAGTGACCCTGTATAGGATTTCTGAGGAGTAGCTGGTGGATTTGAACCACTGACCCTGCAGTTAGTAGTTCAGCACTCATCCTACAGCATTACACAATCCAAAATGTAACCTACCACTCCACTTAGCATAACTGCAAAAAACCTAATTGGGGACCAGAAGAACGCAGTGGGGAAATTCAGACAGGTAAGAATCAACAAATCAGCAACAAGTGCATATAGTAGAAAAATCACTTCTACTGTCCCTGTCCCTCCCAGTCATATAGGTCACCAGCTGCTGTGAACTGGGGAAGTGACTCAAGGTGAAAAGTCTGCTTCCCTAACTACCACAACCCCTGCCTCGCAATGAGACAGGACTCCAAACTTCTGATCTAAAATTCACAAGGCTGACCTCTCTGGGAGTCCCTTTGAAGTGTGCCAGCACCTCTTCCACCCTGGAAACTAATGGCCACAAGCCTACTACTACAAATTGCTTAAGAAGATGCCTGCAGTGGTATCTGCTCCCATAGTCAGCACTCTGCCTGCCTCTCTGTGCACCCTACAGCTCAGGGCTCTGGCATCAACAGGCATGATCTCCCAGGGAATCATGTTGGGTCTGTGTACTGTGCCTTCTAGTGGCCACTGAGAAGTGCTGAGACTACTGTGGACTAGGAAGCATAGTGAGTGGAGGCTCCACTCAGAGCAAATACAAGATAAGAATGTGGGGGCATTCTGATAGCAACAAAAAAGACCTCCATGGGAGTCCATTTGAAACAAGACAGCCCCCATACCTCCACAGGACACTAACATGCAAGAATTGTTATAGCAGATTCCTGCAGTGAAGTCTGCTTCTATACCCAGAAGTCTAGCTCTCTGTCTGAGCTCATTATAGCTCAAGCATCTGAAACTAATTGGACAAACCTCACTGGTGGTCAATTTGGGTTAGGCTTCTCCTAATTCTAGTTGACACTGAGGACTGCTCACTGAGACAGTTTTGTATTAGGAAGCAGGCTACTACACTCATAGCAAATGATCCACCAGTAAGGAGCTGTGATAGCAACAAGAAAGACCACTATGATGATCTCCCTGGAGTGTGGTCCCCGCCCTCCCTGGTGTCTGTTGTCTGACAGGCTATTGTAAGATGGTACAGAAAGTCCCTATAGTGGATTCTGCTCGGAGAGTCAGCACTCAACTTGCCTCTTTGTGCATTTGATAGCTCAGCTCTCTGGAAACCCACAGGACAGACTTCTCATGGTTAGTATGGGCCTGTCTGCTCTGCCTTCCAGTCAACAGGTAATAAGGTATTTGTGCTTAGTGATTCAAATTGTGTTGTCCTTCATGTTTTTTCATAACTATATAAACAGCCATGGTAGAGTACTGTTACAAGGTACATGAAATCTAAAGACATAATCAGTAATAGCAACAAAATGGAGGTGAGAACGGTATAATTTTTGAGAATTTCTTGCATGTTACTGAAGTTAAGCTGGTGCCAATTTACCTTAGGATGCTATAAATAACCATCTGTTAAATGCAGTCAGTATTCATTGTAACCACTTAAAAAGACCTTAAAATAAATACACAAAAGAAAAGAGAAGGGAAACAAAATTGGCCCACTACAAACAAACCAATGACCCACAAAATCAATTAGTAGTAAAGGGCAGACATATGCCTCCCACCCCCAAAAAACATATCTATCTATCTATCTATCTATCTATCTATCTATCTATCTATCTAGCTAGCTAGCTAGCTAGCTAGCTATGGCAAAGTTAGGTCACTTCTAATTGGTAATTGCAGTGAATGTAAATACTAAATTCTCCAATCAAAAGGAAGAAAGTGACAGACTGGATTTTGAAAAAAGAAAGAAAACATGATCCAACTACAGGTATGTGTTGCTTAACATGAGTCATGACAACATCTAATTGCTTATATGTCTGTGGCCCCATAAGGTTTTCTTTCCTTTTCTTTTCTTTCAAAGGGAAAGCTCTCTTTTTGTTATTTCCCACAAGCTTTTAAAGACCCCAAATGCGGACTTCTGCAGCACTAGGTCATGGTTGGGACAGAGGCAGGTGAGGCAGAGAACATGGCTCTGTGCACAGACTCTGAGGCTTGGTCTGGTGGGCAGGTGGACAGAACAGTGATTGGGGCTGACCACTCCCCTCCCTCCTCACTCACTTTCTTTTGCTTCAGCCCCACCTATGCCTTCTTAACTACTGCAACTGCTGGTGCCCATCCCAGCCATCACCAGTAGCTCCCATGTGGTGGCAGCAGCGGCGGCAGAGGCAGTCACAAAGACAAAGACAACAAGAACAAGGCTCCCATCAGGCTTCAGTACAGTGTCTGTAAAATCAAAGTCACATACTGCCCGATTTCAAAGAAAGATGGAAGACCCCCAGTGAGATGGATTGGCACAGTGGCATCAGCAACGCATCCAAGCGTAACACAATCGTGACCACATCACTGGACTGGGCAGCACTTCGTTTGGTTGCATAGGTTCACTATGATTTGGAATTGACTCCATGACACCTAATAACAATTGTGGATGTAAAACGATGTTTATAAGAGACACACCTTAGACCAGATGAAACAACACGACTGAAAGGGGATAAAATGAAAAACAATATTTCATGCAAATGACAGCCAAAAAAGTCTAGGGTGGGTTATCTTAATATCAGACCAAGGAAACACTGAGATAAAATCTGGGTGGGTGAAGAAAGATGGCAAAATAAATGGATGCTCCCACTTACTCGCCCAGCAACTAACCCCATCAGCATTGAATTAAAACAAACACACACTGAGATCTCATAACTCTGGACAGCAGCTGAGGTTTTAGAGAGTTGGGGTGAGTCCAGAAGTGGGGATGAAGAGGAGCAGGGATAACATACAATTTAGGAGAACCTACCCATTGACTTCTAGAGCACTCACTTATGGCGGCCATTTTGGGACAGGGTTAGGCAACACCCGGAACAGGGTACACAAAAATGGAGCTAAACTGAGAAAATTGTAGCAGATCTGTTGAAGGCACCACAGATTGACTGTGGGAGCTCACATGTTGAGTAACTGGAAAGTGGAGAAGGGAGACATGGAGCTACATGAGAGTCCTGTTGAATCTCACTGAAGCTCAAGATGGAAAAGCACTAGAACCTGGGGAAACTGCAAGAGCGTAAGGACATGGGATAGCCTTTGGATGGACAAAACAGAACGAAGCAGCTGGTTCCCTGCTCACAACTGGGCATTGTGGTCTGACAGCCTGTGCAGGGGCCCTGGTAAAAGAAAGACATCGAAAAACCCCATCCACGTGTTTTATAATGGGAAAGCTGAGCTTTACTTACATCAGCTTCTGAAACCTGCTCATCTGTATATTGAAGGAGTCCTGGTGTGGCGCTGTGGGTTAATGTGTTGGACTGCAAAGTCATTTGAACCACAAGGTCAGCAGTTCAAGCTCACTAGTCACTCCTTGGAAACCCTATACAGGGTCGCTATGGGTCAGAACCAACTCCACGGCACTGAGCAACAACAACATATATATTGAATTTCAGAGACAAGCATCCAGAATATCTGAATCAGCACTGAAAAGAAACCTAAGGGTAGGAGCATCGATTAGTGGATCTTCGGAGAAGTTACAAAGCTCACTGCCATTGGGTATAGTCATAGTGACTCTGTGGAGCAGATTAGAGCTGCTCTGTAGGCTTCTCAGGGCTGTGGAGTCATTACAGAGGCAGATTGCTGTAGCTGTTTCCTGTACAGCAGCTGTGAGGACGGGCCACCAACCATCCAGTTGGCAGCTGGGTACTTGGCTGCTGGGCCATCAGGGTGCCAGGAAAAATTAAAAATTTTCCTACAGAAATCACCAAAACAGAAATTAAAGGAAAAAGAAGAGGGAGGGGGAGGTAACAAATGACCTAATTTCAATAAAGTATTGTAAAACTCACAGAATCACAAGGGAAGAGGGGAAGGGCAAACCTAAAAGAAAACATGAAGAAGAGTATCTCCTATGGAAGACAACTAAGAGGAAAGAAAAACTGAGTATTTTCAGACTATGATGCTAAATATACTTAAAGAAAACAAGTGGCATGCAGAAAAGAAGTAGCAAAGGTCAGGAAACAAATGTGGGGGGGGGGGGAAGGAGAGACTCAACAAGGAAACCAAAAACATCAACTAAAACTAAATAGAGAGAACAACTACCACTGAAGAATAAAGCAAATGAATTACAAAAAGCAAGAGAATGTTCAACACCAGAGTCAAGCTGACATGACAGAATAAATGGGCTAGAACACAAAACAATTTCCTTACCAAGTCTCAAGAGAAATGACAGAGAGGAACAAATGAAAGCAAACAAACTGAAATATAAATAAGAGAGTCAATCAAGAAATCTAATATCACAATTAGATTTCCAGAGCACCATGACAACAGTAAAGGCACAGAAAGAATTTCCCA